CTATACATTATATTTAATTGAATGTGACGTATTATTCGATTGCTAAACAATCTACTGAAATGCTACAATCCGATTGGTCAAAATGTATGAGGATTTTACTTTTGAATATTATAGTGCTTGTAGGTTTCAGACAGGGTTTTGTAATGTCTCTGTTAGATTGTGCAGAATTTTTTCTAGAAGCTACAGCCCATAATGGACATAGATGAATGCAGTATCAAAGGCCTACTGTATATTCAGGCAAATTAATAAAGTAATCTACAGAAAAATGAATTAATTTATTGTTTCAGGGTCATTTTGTTTAATTTTTCTTAGATTTATTTGTTGAAAACTTTTGTATGGTTTCAGTTTTAGTTTGCTTGTGATTATGTTTATTTTTTTTAGTAACTTAATCCTTATGAAGCACATAAAGCAAAAAAAAAAAAAAAAAAAAATACCCGGAAAAATACCTGATTTACATAATAAAAAGGAAAGGGGGAAAATCATATTGAAATTCAAAAACCAGCCAAATGGAAACCACCAGAAAGAAGTGGAAAATCCGGTAGCAGGTGGCAAAAAAAAAAAACACAACAGAAAAGAAACCGCAACATTTTAACAACAGGACAACTCAAGATGAAGTAATACAATAGCAACATTGTTGGAGCGCATAGTACCAATTTGTCTATGTACTGAACCACCATTAATAATTACCAGTCAGTTAAAAGTAATACTGTATTGGTAAAGTCAAAAGGGGAAAATACTGTAGGCCTATGTAACACAACATTGCGTTGTTTTCTATCAGTTAAATACACATAGCCAACCAGCTATGACAGCCAGCCTTTATAATTTCTCTTAAGCATTCACATTTTAAGAAAAAAGAAGTTAAAAAACAAATTTGAGTGAACATAATTTTATTTGAAAATATAAGGTATACATTTTTTTTTTATGTTAAACTCAAACATCAGATAATCACACTGTTTAAATGTAAATGTAACATAGCCAGCCATGATAAAAAAAAAATTCTCTCTAATAACAACCACACATATTTTAAAGAAAAAGGATTAAAAAGAATGACTTCACCAATATTTATTTAATTTTAGAGTATAGGGTGTAAAGTTCCTCAATATTAAACCGGACACATCAAATTCATGTGGCAGATCACATAATTTAAATATAGCCACAATATATCCGTATTTGACTGTATCCCATCGCTGAGTTGCGCGATAGTTGAAATATATATAAACTCTAAACCATCTTGCAGTAACATTCTTGCAGTAATGCCAAAAATGAATATAATATAATCATTATATTATTTACTATTTATTTATCTTCTGAGATCCTTTCTTGTTGTTAAGTGCTTAAGAGGAAAGTGTATCATGTTAATCTGTGTTCCATGTGAGTTCTTCTAGGACTAGTGCTGTTCCGTATTTATGCATGAGAGTAGAGAGTGAAGGAAATTGCTTATAATTGGATTCAAATGTGTCATATTTTTTCACCCTCTACCATTTACAAAAAACTGAAGTGGTTAGAAAATATGAGAAGCCACATCAGTTTCTTGCAGCCCATCAAGTCCAGAAAATTAAAAACATGGGTCCAAGGAGCTTGATGGGACCAAAAAAGAGGTTGCACAGGATCTCTGGTAAGGGTACGGACAAAGCCGCAGAGATATTAAGATTTGTGATGATAAAATTGTGCTTTTGGTCTACCAATATCACGGAACTACAATTACAATAACTATAGATTAAATGAACTTTGCTAGTCTGACAACTTGAAAAGGCATCTAGCGGAGGGGGTGGGGAATGGGATGCTTCTCCAAGGAGGAAATTGACTCCCCTGACCCCACTTGAACCACCACCGCTCTGAAGCTGAAAATATAACATGTTCTTTATTAGACTAGAGGCACAAAATTGTCTTCTGAGCCAGCTCATGACTGTAACAACATAAAACTTACAATTTATTATAAATAATATAGTGTAATTTGTATAAATATACATATAATTTTGTTATAATATATTTATTAAATCAATTAATTGTAAAACCATTGATGTCGAATTCATTTGACACCTTATGTGTGAAAGTGAGATAAAGAATGTTAAAGAAGGAAACAGTTAACTTATTTTATCATGTTTCTTAAACTTCTCTCATTTCTTTCTCAATCCTGATGAATTATTAGAAAATTGAATTTCAATGTACAGGATGTATACAGATTACACACAGTGTCAAATTATGACAGTTTTTAATTCTGTGTAGAAGATTTTTATCGCCCAAGGCAATATTTTATAATTGACTATTGGAATAGGGATTATGTTAGTGACATTTGTTTATTCAGTCTTAATACCCTATCCACTAACATTTTAAAGTTTACCCAAATCATTTTTCATTGATTCCGTTTGCATACCTTTCTGACATTTTCCTCCTGTTTGTAATTGAGGTAAGATTACTGGTTTAATATGTATACAGATTTCTGAAATTTTTCAGTTCGACAAACAAAAATATCTGATGGCATGTACCTAGCTTTAGAAAGTGGAAGATATTGTGTGTATTTATTCAAATTTTTGACATAATGATCCAACTTTTTTTGTTCAGTCTGACAAACAAAAATATCTGATGGCATATATCCAGCATTAGAAAGTGGAAGACATTCAGTGTGCATTAGACATAGATTGCTATCACATTCAACAAAAGCAGGATATGTTAAGACTTAAGTAACCATACGAGGAAAGACGTTTGATCCTTCCTGTAACGAGAGGTACCAATTATGTGTCTGTTAATTCCTTGCTATTAAAATGATACATTGCAACATGATTGTTTTGTTTGATGTTTCTGACCTTTAAGACTTTCGTCGTTTATAGTCTGCCCTTTTAATTCGTAGATTCCTAATTGAGTAAAAAGCTTTCTGGGGGTTTTCACATGAAGGGTACATAGAGTGCTGTATGTTAGGTATATCTATTAGTAAAATATAACAGAAAATGTGTTTAACAGATACTTATTATTGAACTTGCCACAAAAAAAAAATTGTTTAGATCTTTTTAGTAGTTGAGGGCACTATTGATGCCAGATCTTATTCTCCCCATCTATAATCATTATCTTTTAAAGTGATTTATAGATTTTCAAACATTGCAGTGTGATTTGTTTGTTTATAGAACAACCTTCAACTTTGACAGATATGCACACTTAAAACTAGCAGATGACTTAATGTATACCATGCTTTGTACTACTGTATATTTAAAGTGTCACATTGAGGTTTGCTCTATGTTGGTCCTGTTTTATACCCTCTGAAAACACCATTTCCTCTCAGCTGATATGATACCATAGAAAAGATAATAGGTTAAATGAGAATTCAGACTTATTTCTGAGTTTTAATTAAATCTACTCAATGTAGAGTTCTTGCTTTATTATGTGCTTCATGTTTATATTGCAGAAAAGTAGTATGATTCAGCCACTGTGTTCATAGTAATCAAAACCTGTGGCGGTAGTTGTGGGATGTCATTATAGATGACAGTTGTCTTTCACTAGGTATTAATTAAGAATGCTCATTGGGTATTGTAATTTGATTGATGTGGTGTAATGATTTACAAGCTGTCAGACAAGACAACTCTAGAATATCGATTATATATCTCCCGCTCCCCCATCCCCCCTTTCATGTCGCCCCTGTCCAATTTAAAACTTGACAAATACACCTTATTTAATTTTGTTCCAGGATGAATCAATGAAACCAAATTAAAAAAATTTTTTCTCATCCAGGTTGTTGAAAAAAGAGAGAAAAACAATTAAGCTAAAGTACCCTAGTTTAAGTCCCCTCATATCTTCAGTTAGCACATCCACACTTCTCCCAGCTTTTATTCATCTGCCCCCACCCCCTTCCATCCTTCCTTGTCAACTGACTAATCATACAATTTAGACATGATGGAATACTTAATGTACTAAGGATTCAGAATCTTCCATTTTAAGAAGTATCTCCCCCACCCCCACAAACTCCCTACTGAATTTTCTGTTGGTCTGAGGGAGATTATTAGAGCCTGTTCAGCCAATGGGGTCCAACTCATTCCTATACTGTATTCTAGCCTAGTCATCATGGTATCTACACATACCACAAACCAGAACTTCACACTGTTCAGTGCTTATTATAGTCTGGTCAATGTTGTCAGTTGTAATGTACATTTAATTAAACCATGAGTTAAAAAAAACCCATAGATTTTGCATTGTAACAAGTCCAACTGACATGGGAGATATGAACCTAAAAGGCAGGACATCAGCCACTAGTACTAATGAGACATGATAGAAACATCCTGGAAACTGATGAAATGTGGCATTGGTCATCAGTCCAACATGATATACTGATGCATCCTGCAGTTAAATGAATCATTGAATGTGGAAAGACATGAAAATGTTACAGGCCCACAAAACAGACAATTGGAAGCAGTCAAAATTATGTTTCATTGTACATAGCATTCCAATGCCGAATTTAGGAAAAAAATTATACATATTATAATATTATACATCTTCCCCATCTTCATCAAAAAAAAAATTCTACCTTTCCTACCTCTTTTACCAAACCAATCTTCTCTTCCTACACTTTTCCCAACATCTCTTCCTCACTAACATTTTTTTTTTCTCCTTCCTAATTACCTTCCATGATATCTCTTTCCCAAACACCTTTTTCCTTAACGCTTCCAAGCTCCAAACACATCTTCCAAAACGGTCTTTCCTAATACCCCTCCCTAAATCTCTATCCTTTTTGCCAATATCTTTGTAACATCCCTTTCTCAAACCCATTTCCTATACACCAAAAAAGTGTGTCCATATGGACTCTCATGGCAATCAATCTTCCAAGCACACTTATTTTTTTTTTTCAATTGTTAAAAAAAAATAAATTTTGTTGCCACTTCAATTCACCATATTACCATCTAATAAAACAATGTTATAATTAAATGCACTGGACCATGCTCAAAATAAGTCTACTGTAAAATATGATTTTGTATTTACTGTACAGTAATATTTATAGATGAGTAATGGTAATGGATTATTTTTACAGATCTCAACCATTAATAATTCCACCGAGTTCGGCAGAGAAGCAAGCATCAGACATCATAAATGAACTCAATGCATTGAAGACAGAGATGAAAGCAGCAATACAGGTAGCATCTGTTGCTAAGTTACACTTTGATTGCCTGTATCCAATCCATAATGTGGAGGGTTTCTTGACTCAAGAATATGCAAATAAAGGAGATGATTATTGTGTGGAAGTCATTGACATGGCGTTCTAATCTTCTTCCAAAGACATGCTAAAGTTATCAAAGCGTAGACTAATCTGGCGTATCACAGCGTGTGTACGGCTGTGATTAGTGATAGCGCATGAAACTATCATCAATCATATGTTACGTAGCTTATTAGAATCCAGGCTAACTTCTGTTTCCTCCACTCCACAGGATGCTAAGAACATCGAGTTGATTGGACGTCAGAGGTCACATGTCATCCCTGCCAAATCCTCTACTGACTCCACTCATCAGGTACGTGTTTAGCTACCGAACAGCCATCATGTTTTTATGTATTTAGCATAATTGCTTAGGTCACTGGCAATTTAAGTAGAATGAAATAGACACGTGTTTGCTGTTGTACATATCCAGTGAATTTTAAGTCTATAGTAGAAAGACTATTTTTTTACACTCATTTTAATGCTTGGTAACCTGTTTACTATCAAACTTCTATTCTCCCACAAGGCCCACTTACGCTTCATGAACGAAGCCTCACAATGGGAGCTATTTCAAGTTGTAAAGCCCTGTCCACACTATCATGACCATATATAGGCAAATCATAACTATATATGGGCACATCATGACTATATGGGCACATCATGACCATATATAGGCACATCATGACTATATATGGGCACATCATGACTATATAGGCACATCATGACCATATATAGGCACATCATGACTATATATGGGCACATCATGACAATATATAGGCACATCATGACCATATATAGGCACATCATGACTATATATGGGCATACAGCAGTTTTTTGTCACAGAAAATTTGATAGTGTGGACAGAGCTTTAGAATAAATTTCGAATTTTGACAGGACTTGAACCCAGGTCCTTGGGAATAGAGAGCAAGCAGGACTTGAACCCAGGTCCTTGGGAATAGAGAGCAAGCTCCTTAAAAAAACCACTAAACTGCCACTACCATAGAAAAAGAATTAAGGAAGGGAAGCACTGTCTCTCTGTTTAATTCAGATTTATTTTTACTTCTGGGTTTCTGCTGCTATGGGCTTATAAATAGACCGAATCAGCGACTCCAGCTATTACTGGTCACGTGACATATAGTGGGTACTAAATATAAACATACATATCGTAAACCACAGTGCGCTCTTTGAACACAGTATATTGAAAGAGTTATTATGTTTTTTTAGACAGCGACCCAAAGTAAAGTAAGGCAGTAGGCCTATGTTTCTTTTTAAATAGTGATTTATAATTACAGAGCAGGGAAGGAGTTATTATGCCTCGACTATATATATATATATCTCTGTAGTTGAGTAGGTAATAAAGTACTGTAGAAAATAACCCTTAACGGTACTGATTGCTCATCCAAACTTGGTCTAGGAAACAAGCTGGTGAAAATAGGCATGGTATGGTACATCCTAACACTGTACGTAATAATAATATTTGTTGTCAAATGATGATCATTATCCTCGGCAGGTAACTACAGACATCCTATAATTTTATATTTTGGGTTTAAAATAACTGTAAAATAATACTCTTGCAACGAATAGGGGATTCGTTTTTTTGTTTGTTCATGCTGCGATAGCATTTGCCGTGAATAATATCCTTGATTTAGGCCTAGGCCTAAAAAGTACCTCAGCTGGCGACGACTCACTGGAGCAATATGCACGTCCTGAAGGTACCGTACATTTCTTTGAAAAACTTCCAGGCTTTTTTCCCACTATCCATTGGAGCCTTACCAAACCAAACTGATAAGTATTTGAAAATTTAATTTTGGAACACTTCTAAGTGATTTACCAGATTATAACTCGCATTTCAACCAACATTTGCAACATATATGATGTGACTTACATTAACAACAAGGCGAAGCCATATTCAATGCACTGTCGTCTCGCAATGTAATCAAACCCTAATACCCACTATAAGTCACGTGACCCGAGCTGCCGATTCGGTCTATTGACAAGGAAATTCACAAGAGAGGTAAGCATACATACACACATACTGTGCATACATATGCCTATATATAGTACACTCAAGTCCTATCTAGACACCACAATAACTATTAGTGGCAATGTCTGAAATGTTTTGATGGTATTCCTTATAATGTCCATTGGGTGAAAGAATGGTTAAATGAGTGAGCGAATGAGAAGCGACTATCTATTATACCTAAGTTGAAGTTTATTTTATTTTTTATTTTTCTGTTTGGTTCTGAATCTCACAACTTGGTTTTGCCAATAGCGCATTGCACAGGAGCTAAAAATCGAACAGAAACCTATCACTGTGATTTTAACACTCTTAAGTGGGCCAATGGAATTCACAATTCAATGGCAATTTTCATTCCAAACTAAAGGATTGACACATAGAGCTCCTATACCTAGGCTGAAAATTACTTATAAGTGGGTGAGCTTATACCATGGGTTGACATTGCTGAGAGAGGTGATATTATAGTACATGCGATGGACTTGTATGCAGGGTGAAATTATACCGGGGATGAGGTTACACCCAGATTGGGCTTATAGCCGGGATTGGCTTATGGTGAGGATACTCAGGATGGGCTTATACCTGGAATGGGCTTAACTAGCAATGGGCTTACACCCATGCTGGGCTAATACCCAGAGAACTACTGTAATTCATGTGGATTTTTGCTGATAACTTACACTGGGACTCATCCATCATATTGTTGTTTCTTAATTACAGGAAGCTCGTAGGGCGTATGATAGATGGCAGAGGGCGCTAGATGAACCAGCACCTTTGGATAGATACTTGGTAAGTAGCAGCTAAATAATAACAGTGAAATGTACTCATTAAGAATCATCAATGCTGGTTCATGTCAGTATATTGTGGATATATATACTGTCTATATATACTGTAGGATGGAAGATGTGTATTTTTTCCAAATTGCAGATATAGCATTCATCATTAAAACCATTGCAAGATTAGATCTAGAATTAAATGTTGAGAAAAGGATCATTTAAACTGCAGACCCTGCAGGGTCAGTGGTTTAAACACACACATGGACATGCGTATATGTTTGATATTTTTAAATACTTTTTGTGGTTTTTCTGCAAAAAACCGTGTAATATTATTTATAATGTTTGGGCCTATTTGTTTTTATTAAAATATATTTATCTAGGGGAATTTAAATAGTAATATATACACCCACTCTACGACCACCCCACCCCTTTCCCTCTATGCTATTCCATTCTACCCAGTGTAGGGGTTTTTGTATATTTTGAGATATATATCAGAGATACTGTTCAGAGTCTCATTTGTTGATTTTATGCAATTTATAAACATTTCATCCTTCGTTTCCCCAAAATTTTCACGTTTTCACCCCCAAAACCCTGCATCTCCACCCCTACAGCCCACCCCAGCCTGATATATGTTAGGGCCAACTCAGACAGCGTCGTACGACGCAGCCTGACGTGATTTGTTGTCGCGTCGGGTCTGTGTGAACGCAGACGCGATGGTGTAACGCAGACGCGATGGTGTGCGTCGGGGCAGTCGCGTTGTAGAATATTAAACATGTTTAATATTTCTCACGACGGCTTAAGACTGTCCCCGACGATAAATCAGGTCGGGCTGCGTCAGCTGACGCTGTCTGAGTTGGCCATTAGCAATACATCTATCGTGCAGTACATGTATACAATACTGTATGTGTATGTTTGACTCCACGGTTTGAAGTAGCTTGGATTAGAGGGAAGGGCAAAAGGGGATTTAATACAGCAAAAGCTAAACAACCAATTGTAAGCAAACCATTACTCCAGGCTTCTGGTATGCCTAGCACACATATTTCACTAAGCCACCCAAATGCAACGTTTTATTTTTAACTTTGAGTCAGAGGAAAACATTAATCATCCAGAAGCGCCGCAGCAGCTGGGTGTGGGTCTCCAAGGGACAGGTAATGATCACTGCCTACACACCTGTCCTCACCTCGCACATCTGATGTTGTTTATTTTCTCGTCAGACACATTCATCTTGTCTCTAATCTGCATAGGCGTCACTAGACTGACAAGATGGTTGTGTAGCATTCAGCGTTGATTTATCACCATTGCACAACATATTTCTTAGCTTGTATTATCTGTAGCCTCTCTATTACAGGGACCATAGAGGTTATTACCCTGCCATGCAGAAACTATCCACTTTAGTTTTGTTATCTAACTTTAAATAAATATAATAGTAATGATAATGCAGGAGTTTATACTGTGCCTTTTGCCAGCGGATACAAGACACAAAAAGAAGATGCAAAAATACACATCTAAATTTACTTATTCTATATAGTGTATATCCCACCCAAATGCAACATTAGAAAACAACCTTAGGAATGAAGTTCATCGAGGATATTATAAAAGTACTCATCTCACTCTGAATATGTTACTAAGTATTAAAATGCATTTTTCAGGGTTGTTTGTACAAATTCTACCCTACCCTGACTCAATATATTAGGAATGTATTCCTCAAAATTATATGAAACAAACTAATCCCTACCCCTTTCCTAACCGCAACATATTATGTATAGATTTGTCTCAAAGATAAATGAGACAAAAACTCACCCAACAAATGAGAATACATTATTTAAGGCTATACAAAACAAAATCTTTTGAAGAAACCCACCCCCTCTCCTCTGACAATGACACATTCGTTACCCACATTGCCTATGGTATTTTGTGATTTTCTGTTGTCACTTCTTGTATCATAGCTACCCACTCCTGCAAAAGTACCTACAGCCTTTATTTGTATCATTTTGCGCATGCTCAGATACATTTTTTCTTCTGTGGGATTTTCACAATCTAAAAATGGTAGATGTGATTGAAGGAGAGTAATAATAGAAATATGCCTGTTGTATATATGTATATGTATCAAAGATACTAGAAACACAAGATAGAGCACTCTCATAGTAAAAATGAGGCGGAAATCATGGCCGACGTAGGCGGCACCCTTCTTTTTCCACTAATGGAGGAAAACTTTATCACTAGAGTGCGTCCGGCCATACGATTTTGCGCTGTATTGTTGTTTTCTATACTGATCCATAGGCTTAATTTGTGTTTTATTTGGATAATAGCAACGATTTCTACCTCCGCCAAGGAATTATGTATTCACCGTTGTCACTGCTGGGTAGTCCACCGGAAATACGGATTTGACTGGACGAAATTGCAACAAAACGTTTTATGATCTAAATATAAACTTAATTATATGTAAAACAACATACTAAAAGTTTACCAAAATAGGACGTACATAAATGTGTTTTTTATAACCAAAAGTTCAGCACTATTTTAAAGTAGACTTTTACACGGTACGTACTGCGGTTTTCAAACTTTTCTTGATTATGATTGGTCAACATTTAGGTCAACGTAGGTCATATCTGTTTGTTGCCGGAAGAGTGAGACCCGCGTGCGATTTTTTTTCCGTATTCATCTTGTCTCTAATCTGCATAGGCGTCACTAGACTGACAAGATGGTTGTGTAGCATTCAGCGTTGATTTATCACCATTGCACAACATATTTCTTAGCTTGTATTATCTGTAGCCTCTCTATTACAGGGACCATAGAGGTTATTACCCTGCCATGCAGAAACTATCCACTTTAGTTTTGTTATCTAACTTTAAATAAATATAATAGTAATGATAATGCAGGAGTTTATACTGTGCCTTTTGCCAGCGGATACAAGACACAAAAAGAAGATGCAAAAATACACATCTAAATTTACTTATTCTATATAGTGTATATCCCACCCAAGTGCAACATTAGGAAACAACCTTAGGAATGAAGTTCATCGAGGATATTATGAAAGTACTCATCTCACTCTGAATATGTTACTAAGTATTAAAATGCATTTCTCAGGGTTGTTTGTACAAATTCTCCCCTACCCTGACTCAATATATTAGGAATGTATTCCTCAAAATTATATGAAACAAACTAATCCCTACCCCTTTCCTAACCACAACATATTATGTATAGATCCCTTGAAATCCCTTGACAAACCCACCCCCTCTCCTCTGACGACGACACATTCATTAACCACATTGAGTATGGTATTTTGGGATTTTCTGTTGTCACTTCTTGTATCATAGCTACCCACTCCTTTATTTGTATCATTTTGCACATGCTCAGGCCAACGACGCTGTCTGAGTTGGCCTTAATATATATCAGGCTGGGGTGGGCTACATACTGTAGGCATTTTTTCACAATCTAAAAATGGTAGATGTGATTGAAGGAGAGTAATAATAGAAATATGCCTGTTGTATATATATGTATATGTATGAAAGATACTAGAAACACAAGATAGAGCACTCTCATAGTAAAAATGAGGCGGAAATCATGCCCGACGTAGGCGGCGCCCTTCTTTTTCCACTAATGGAGGAAAACTTTATCACTAGAGTGCGTCCGGCATTACGATTTTGCGCTATATTGTTTTTTATACTGATCCATAGGCTTAATTTGTGTTTTATTTGGATAATAGCAACGATTTCTACCTCCACCAAGGAATTATGTATTCACCGTTGTCACTGTCTGGGTACATTTGTACTAATTGTACAATTGTATACAATTTTTTAATTGAGAATTGACAATAAAATATGCAACGACTTGGTAACGAAAGTTTGGTTGAAGTTTTTTTAGATCCAGCCGTAAGGGGCGTCCCATTGTTTGTATTCCGACCATGCATTTCGGTGGAACACTTTTTTTGTGTGGAGAACTCTATCTTGTGTTTCTAGTATCTTTGATATGTATATACATTTATGTATATAGTTAATACTCACATTAAGTACTATACATAATAATGTATCAAACTCCATATTAGGCCAAATAAAATTAATTGCTAGTTTCACATCTTCGTCCCTCATAACATTTACTATTTTGCTATTTACAAAAAAAAAAACAATAATTTTTCCATGCAAAATAAAAATAATGATGGTCTGCAAGATTGTCAAAACCTAAGAAAAGGTGGAAACATAAATGCAGGATAGTATTGCATACAAAGATTAATTTTACTGTTTTCATTAAAAATAATTTTTATTATTTACCAACCTGTTTACCACTAGTACAGGGTGGTAAGTAGCAAATAGTAAATACCCTCACCAAAAAAATAATTTCAAATCAAAGACAATGGTATTATTAGGTATTGTTTACATTAACTTTATATTTGATACAGTTGACAGTATAAACTGTGTATAGGGTTTCACAATTAATTCCTTGCAAGTGTTGTAGACATTATGATGACTTAATCATACCGTGTGTCACATATGCATGATTCACCTGTGAAAGTAATCATGTTTATCCCTATGTCATGCCACCCATAGGTTAATCATTTTTACTTTATTCCCAGAATATCATGACCTCTACAAACATTTTTACTACTCTGGGGATTTGTTCCAGCATTTGGATACCTTGGGGATGTGTGCCAATATTTTGTTACCTAAGAGATGTTTTTTTAGCATCTAGCTAGCCTTGGAATGTGTGTTCAATCTAGCTACACTGGGGGTGTGTAACTTGTTGCCTCCCTATAGGGCTATGAAACATTATAAAACTGCAACATGTATTTCCTCACCTTATAACACAAAAGGAACAGAAAATAGAGCAAATACTGCATAAGAAAAAAAATGTAATTTAATTCGTGAATTTCAAATAAAATCGATGCGTAGGAGGATCTTACCTAGCTAAACAGAATTTACTGCTGGCACAGTTTTCTCCCCACGCTTCTTCCTTATGTCAACATAAATTGACTTTTACTGCAGTCATGTTTTCAAACCAGCAATCAAATTGATTGCT